CCCCCCACCCAATGAGATGGCTCGGCACAGTAGGTGCTGTGGGTTCAAACAATGGGTTAAAGTGTAGCAGTGATTGTGAGATTGGCACAGGATCAATCAGGCAGTGTTTTGTTCTGTTGTGCCTAAGGCCGCTATGAGTTGATACCAACTCGACAGTTGATACCAACTCGACAAGTAGAGAATAGAACTATATCAAAAGGAACAGGCAAAAAAATGTCAAATGATCTCTATGAAAAGGGCTAGGGAGGAGAGAGACAACAGGAGTGAATGAAAACCAGGAACTCTGTATCTCAGAAGCATGACTGGTGAAGAGCAGAATGGCCAAAGGAGGTTTCCCAGAAAAGGGCATCTGAAGAACCAAAATTGCCTGTGAGCATGGCACATCCCAGATAATGAAAAGCTGGTGTGACTCACGCACAAAAGGTGATCAGCAACACGGTCCAAGAGGAGAATAGCAGGGGCTGCACTAGAAAGGGCCCAATGGGTCATACAAAGTATTCTGGTCTCTATCCCTAGAGATGGAGGGTGCTGACAGAAAACATGATCAGGTTCACATTTTGAAAAGATCACATTTCCTGTGGTATGAATAAGAAACAGGCAGAGTCAGGATGAATAAAACAAAACTGGTTAACTAGCAAGACTAGTCTTGTTGTTGTTATTAAGCGCCATAGAGTCAGTTCTGACTCATAGTGACCCTGTATAGAGTTTCCCAGGAGTGGCTGATGGATGTCAACTATCAACCTGGTGGTTAGCAGTCCAGTGCTTATCTTACAGTGTCACACCAGGATTCCTTTGTTGTTAAGTGCCGTTGAATGGATTCTGACTTATAGCGACCCTGTATAGGGTTTCTGAGGAGTGGCTGGTGAATCTAAACCACCGACAGACATTGTGGTTCAAACCAACCTTTCAGTCCAGTGCATTATCTCACAGCGCCACTCTTCTAGATGAGACAAAAAGTAGCTTACAGAAATTGATGGAGGAAGGTGAAGAAAAGAAGATGATTATTGTTCATGACAGCTAACATGCATTAATTAAACAAATGTAACAAATACTGTGCTTGCTTCATCATTTACATGGATCTTCCTTCATGATCAAAACAATCTCATGAAATGGGTACTATAATTCACACTCAGTTACCAGGAAATGAAGTTTTCCAAAGTTAAGTACCCTCTCCCAGTGTTATACAGCTAGTAGAGTCAGGATTCAACCCAAAAAGCCTCACCTCTAGCTCTCTCCCTTAACCACTACAAAGGGATTGGTGGCAGACTAGATATTGAGAAGTAGAACAAGTATTCATAAAAAAAGGATTACCAAGACTCTTAGGCATTATCCTGTATAACAGAGTGGTGCTATTTTTCATTATGTTAGGGAGTCACTGACAAATGACCAGATTTGAAAGGAAAGATCACGAGTTTTGTTAGGAACAAATTGAGGCAATTCTGAGGCACCTAGTAGTTGAATATACATGTAGCTCTGACCTGGGTCACAGAAGCAACATCTGAATACAAATTTACAAGTCATCTGCAAAACAGGTGCTATTTCAAACCATGATTGCAGGCTAGAAAGTGACAGCGAATGGCGGGCGGGCGGCGTGGCTCAAAATCAGCCACGCACCTGCCTTCCCTTGGGCCTTCTAAGAGAGTATAGAATGGAAAACGAGTGGAGTTTACTGAAGACTCGGACAAGGGATGTCCAGGGGAAAGAGAATACTTAGTACGGAAGACAAATGGACCAACATCTATAGGGGGCCAACCAGGAACTCTATCTCAGTAGTCAAGGGAATTGCATATGGGAAGAGAATGCCTTAAAAAGGAGAAAATGGACAAAAGCTGAAACGAAAGATCAAGAAAGATGAGAACTGAAAAGGGTCCAATAGAACTAGTGACCCTGACAAGACCTATTCGATGGAGGAATTGAGAAATGAGTGAGCAGTGAGTGTTAGGAACCAGTTGTTTGATTCGAATTAAAGAAACTTGAGCATAGTTTTTAATAAAAATTCGATAAGAAGGACCCAGAAGATCCTTGTTGGGCAACTGATTTAATGCCTCACTTTATTCTTGAACTTTATTTGTAGGGACAAAGCCCACATGAGAACGGAAGTTACTGCCCCCAGACCCTAAAGCTTTGAACAATCACTTTAAGGCAAGTACCAAAATCTTGCGTCAAGAGGTTTCTAACTGCGGTAGCCTCAAGAGAGCAGGATAAGGAGAAACCTTCAGGGACCGGGCAGGGACACGAGGCCGCGAGAAGCAAATAAGAATTCGAGCCCCCCGCGCAACGCTGCCACCGGAAAGGCTTTCAGGCCCGGCCCCGGCTCTCTGCCTCTGGCAGGGAAATCGTCATTTAAAGAAGCCTTTTGCTGGGCCATACCCCCAATCAAGAGCTAGGAGCCCTCCAGAGGGGACCGGTGAGGGCGACCCACCCCCTAACCCCTGGGGCCGCACTCTATTCCCAGGGCCCGCCGGTCGGCCCCGAGATCGGCTAAAGGATGCAGCCCGTAGGGGCGGCGGCCGCGGCTGAGGGAGGCCAGGTCCCTGGATTTGGGCACCAGCCAGTAACCAATGCGGAAGCGGCCGCCGACCCACCCTGGGCGCTGCCCGCTGGGACCGACTCCGGGTAACAGGAAAGCCAAGCCTCCGGCCCCCGCCCTCCCCAGGGCAACTCACCATTTTCCTTCCGGCCGTCAGCTGCCTCTCGCCTTCCCTCTGGCCCCTTTAAGAATGGCCCGGCAGCCACCTCCCTTCCTGCCCCGAAGCCTGGAAGAGCCGCCCCCTCCTATCCACGCGGCCGCGGCGGGACAGCACGTGACAGCGAACGGCGGGCGGCGCGGCTCAAAATTAGCCAAACGCCTGCCTTCCCCTCTGCTTTCTAGGAGAGGATGTGCTTTCTAAAAGTGAAGAAGTACGGTCCGGAGGTACGCTCTTAACGTCTCTCGCCGATTCGTGGTTTCTATGAGTTTCCCCAAGCTTTAAAAACAATTTCATGAGACCGTTGAGTGGTAAATATGTGTTGACATATCCTACCGTATAAATTGTATTCCCTTCAAACCTTCTAGGCCACTTCCCTTCCTTTCCCTTTCCCGAAGCCCACCATTTCCCAAGACTTGGTAACACATTTCTTTACTCTTTCGACTATCCTTATTATTATTATTTTTTTTTAATGGACACGTCCAGATTTTCTTTCCGTCCAGTTCTAGCCTAAATGCTGCTTCTTCCAGTTAGCAGTTAGACCCCAATTAGACATTCAGTTCTTTGCTTTAATTCCCAATAGCCTGTCTAATGACACTTGTCACTTTCTCTTTTGTAGCTTGTGGTGCTGCAGGTTAATGCAAGATCGGCGGTTCAAACTCGCCAGTCGCTTCTCGGAAACTATACAGGGTCGCTATGAGTCGGAACAGACTAGATGGCGCTTAACTTAAAACAGTGTATCACTTGTGGTTTGCTGATTTTAATAAGCGCTTTGAGAAGACCTTAAATTCATTCTGTGCGTGGTTGCAGTGTTGTGTTCTGTCCAGCCAATTCCCACTCATAGCTGTGCATCGTAAATGTTCAGTATTGTTTTTTTTTTAATTGGGCTATGATTGTATGATGATTGATGTTCAAATTAGGACTCTCACAGGCCAATACCTGTTGATGTTAAGCCTTTGTGGAGTCGGTTCCCACGTATAGGGACCATTTTTAGGGTTTCTGAAGCTGCGGGAGCAGAAATCCTCACTTTTTCTCATTCACATAACTTGATCTTATGGTTCACAGTCCAGTGCTTATCCTACGTAGTCACCGCTCTTCCTTGATCTTATGGTTCACAGTCCAGTGCTTATCCTACGTAGTCACCGCCCTTCCTGTTGTTGCTAAGTGGCTTCCAGTTGGAACCAACTCCTAGTGACCCTGTATAGGCTTTCCCAAGGCTCTAGATTTTTGCGGAAGCAGAAAGCCTCATCTTTCTCCCATGGAGTCGCTGGTGGACTTGTTGTTAGGTGCCATCGAGTCGGTAACGGACTCATAGCGACTCTATGCACAACAGAACGAAACACTGCCGTATCCTGGGCCAGCCTCACAGTTGTTGCCATGCTTGAGCCCATTGATGCTGCCGCTTTGCCAATCCATTTCTCTGGGGGTCTTCCTCTTTTTCTCTGACCCTCCCTCTTACCAAACATGACACCCTTCTCCAGCAACTGGTCCCTCCTGTCAATATGTCCGACGTATGAGAGACGAAGTTTGGCCATCCTGGCCTCCAAGGAGCACTCTGGCTGTACTTCTTCCAACACAAATCTGTTGGTTCTTTTGGCTGGTGGGCTAGAACCGCTTATATCCTACAGAGTCACCGAGCTCCCGTTTGTTGTTGTTGATACGTGCCGTGGAGGCCTTTCCAGGAGTGGCGGATAAATTTGAACCGCCGACCTTGCTCTCCTGTTGTTGTTGTGCCGTCTAGTCGGTTCCGACCCACAGTGATCCTGTATAGATTTCCAAGTAGCTGATGAGCTTGAACCACCGACCTTGCAGTTCAAAAACGGCTTTGCAGTCTGACGCATTAACCTACAGCGCCACACCAGGATTAAGAAGTCTTTGTAGGAATTACAGACTTAGTGGAACAAGTGTATCTTTGAATATAATGAGGAGAATGGTGTGAAAGAAGTAGTTTGAACTCAAGAATTTGTACAGGTGCCTTTAATAAAAGAGCTGGTGGGGCAGGATTTCTTGTTTATAGTTTATCCTCAACTTCTAGCACGGTTCCAGGTCCGTAACAAGGGCTCAGTTAATATTTGCTGAACAGCGGAAAGGAAAATAAAATTCTCAGCTATCAACTTTTTAAAAATTAATTGTTGTTGTGTGTCATCTCACCACAACGCTGTATAAGGTTTCCCAGACCAGCTGATGGGTTTGAACTAGTGACCTTGCAGTTCCCAGTCCAGTGTTTACCGTACAGCTCCACACAAGGGCTCAATTAATATTAGACCTAAGTATCACAAGTTTTTAAGTTTTTATTTAGTGTTTAAATACAATTTAAATTAAAATTGAATTTGTTAGCATGCTAATAAATACATTTAATGACAGATTAAAATACATAATTTGATACAATACCTACAGTATCTCAAAAATGAGAATATCAACATATCAGCTGTAAGAAATTTCACAACTCAATAACATCCTCATAGTATTTTTTACTGTGAGAAGAGTACTGACAATGTTTAGTACATGATAAACCAAACTAAGGAGTTCTTGGGTAGCACAAATGGTTAAATGATGTCACAGTAGCCAAAACGTTGGTGATTCGAACTCACTCATAGTCACATCAGTAAACATGCCTGCCAATCTGTTTTCAAAAGGTCACAACTTTGTGAAAACCCTATGGAATAAACAGTTCAACTCTGCACACATGGAGTCCCTAGGAGTTGGAATTGACTCTAACACTAGCAACATTAAAACAAACTTGCAATAAATAAAACAAACTCGTTGTCTTTGAGATGATACAAACTCTTGGAAACCCCATGTGTTACTTAGTAGAATGACTCCATAGGGTTTTCAAGGTTGTAATTAAGGAGCTCTGGTAGTTTAGTGGTTACTAATCAGGAGCTCTGGTAGCGTAGTGGTTACGAATCGGGCTGCGAACCTTAAGGTCAGCGGTTCGAAACTACCAGCCGCTCCGCGGGAGAAAGATGAGGCTTTCTACTCCCGTAAAGATTTACACCCTCGGAAACCCTGTACAGGGTCGCTATGGGTCGGACCCGACTCGATGGCACTTAACAACAACAACAATCAGGCTGCTAATTTCACGGTCAGCAGTTTGAAACTACCAGCTTTTCCACAGGAGAAAGATCAGGCTTTCTGCTCCCGTAAAGATTTACCGCCTCGGAAACCTCGGTCGCTATGAGACAGAACTGTCTCCACAGCACATAACGAAAACAATCTTTCTGAAAGATCACCGGGGGCTGTCTTTGCCGGAGCCACTGAGTGGGTTCCATTTACCACCCTGTAGGTTGGTGGACTAGCATAAACCATTCGTAATATCCAGGAACCTTGGCACATGGTACCATGTGAGACATGGTGGCAGAATTGATGATTATTACTGTTCTGTGAGCATTCATATTTGACAAATTGAATGAAGGTTCTCTCTGCTCCTCCTGTTTTCTCTCATCTCCTTTCCTCATCTATGATAGGAATTAGAGGAAAAGGGGAGAATATTAGCATTTCAATCCGTGACATGTTGTTATTTTTAAGTGCTGTGGAGTCAGTTCTGACTCAGGGTTTCTGAGAAGCAGCTGGGGGGTTTGAACCGTCAACCTTTTGGTTAACAACAGTCTAGTGCTTATCCTACAGTGCCACACCGGTACCCCATGATATTACACCTAATAAATAGTAAATTCATATTATTGACTATGTAATGGGCTCATCTCATATTAGACCTAAGGGAGGTTGGGGAGAGTAGTATGCTGACAAGAAAATGAAACTGATGAAAATATGACTTATTATATAGGAAGTATAAAATAAACAGACTATTTACAGACATTTTATTTGAAGATGGGACATATTTAATCAGAAAGAAACTACATATATTTTAATGAAGCTTGCAAATGCCATTCTTGCTTTGATTATTTGGGGAGGAAGAATATTGCAGAGTGTTTTCTAGCATGTTCGGCCATGAAAATAGTCCTGGCAGACCCCTATAAAAAAACTGAAATGGAGCAGCTGAGGATTCTAGACTCATGGAGGAAGAGGGAATGAGTGCTGGTGGCCAGGGAGCAGGGTGTTTGAATGACTGTATATATTCCTGAGTATTTTGGTGTGCATCCAAAAAAAAAAAAACAAAAAACCAGAGGGAATAGAAGCAAATACTGTTGAATGATGAAGCATGCAGGGGATTGTAATCATTGCAATGAAAGAAACTGATGTTCCCCCATGTAAACTATCACTCAATTCACAATAAAAACTTAAAAAGAAAAAGAGAGCGAGATAAAGGACAGAGGTGAACAGAGATCAAAAGGACCTACTAACATCAATAAAGAGGAACCAGGAGTGGAATGAGATTTTTGGACCTGAGGCCCTTGCATTGTGAAGCTCCTAGATCCACGAAAACATTGATGTTAAGACACATGGAGATCTCCAAGGAATACTGGGCTGACTGAATGCTGAAAAGGAACAAGGACCTTTTTCCAGAGCTGGTGCTCTGAATTCAGACTTCTAGTCTCCTAAACATTCAACATCACCACCAAGGACTCAGTTTTCTAAAATAATAGATTGCTATCTTATCTTTCTAACGGTCGCACTAATGGAGCAGGTGGCAGATGAACGATGTGCGGGAACTGCGCAGAACTGGTGGAGGTGTTAAATAAAACC